CCCCCCCCCCCCCCTCCGCACCATCTTATAAACATATACCTCTGTTTGTTTTTTTACTCACCGTGATTCATGATCAGGTCTGAGAACCATCTGAGCTCTAAAATCTTTAGCTCCGAACTCATCTTCATCCTCATCTCTCTGCTCTGCATCAGCACTAGCTGCTGCTGGCACCCAATCCTGAATAGGTTTATCGTGACTAATCTTCGACCTAACTTGCATTGATCTAGACTAATCTGAACCCTAACTCGTGTTCATCAAAACTAAACTTAAAAGAGATTTTTTTGTCCCCAGGACATGACCGGGTTGTTACGATCAAATCTCAGAATTTTTCTATTGCGAAAGTTTGGTGTTGTCTGGGTTTTTATATTGATCTACCAGGGGTTGTAATCAGGCAGCACATTCATCCATCCACGCTTCATTCATACTGAGAAGAGAGTTGACAAGATTCCAGCTGCTTAAGATTCTTCTTAGGCCTGAGAATATAGAGTGCAGGAATCCTTCTGATATACTGGAATGAGGCCCGGGTGCCATACTGATAGGAAACATACCACTCATTGCTCCCTAACATCTGTAAGCCCGGATTGGATACCCCCAGGTACCTATAGCTGGCAACCATAGACTCTCCCTGCTTGTCCACCATTCCTCACCTATAGCTGGCAACCATAGACTCTCCCTGCTTGTCCACCATTCCTCTCTTCATCATCATTCACTTGGATCAATCCACTTAAAGCTTCTTTCTTCTTGAGTTTAAAGCACGCATCCTTTCGCTGCGGGAGTTGTTGACAGCCGCCCCTCAGTCCTCCTACATGCGTCAGGTGGTCATAACTGCTTAACCAGATGTCGGCTTCAGATGTTTTTGAAACCACAGGTTTGTGTGGAGTAAAGGAATTGAACCCGTGAACACCAGTCTGGACACCAATCCAGTTACTGGCTGCGGACAAGTGTGTGCTTAACTTCAGTGATCTAACAGAACTGGTGTCACACACTCTCCACCCAACCCCACTGTAAAAAAACTAAACTTAATCCTAATCCCTCTTCTCTGCATGAGCACTAGCTCCTGCAGGCATCCAAATCCTTAATATGTTTATCGTGACTAATCTTATTTGTCTAAAGCATGAATGCGCAAGTCACTGTAAAAATAAACCACAATTGAAGATGATAAATTTATAGCTGGACAAGTAATCTAATCCTTCCTTGATCAGACCAATGTCTAAACTTCTAAAGGCTACCGTAGTGAATCTTACAGTTATTATTTTCTATTTTCTCATTTTTCTGGTTTTGAAGTATTTGAAGAAATCTGCGAATAAATTCAAAGAAAAGAAGAAATTCAATATGATGATGAAAACGAAATAATTTATTCTAGCATTGATTTACTAACAAATTTCTTTTGAGAGATATGTACCTAACCATCTAATTTTTACTCTATTTTTCGTCGTCGTTATTTAATAATTAAAAAAAAAACGATTCTGAAAACGTATCCACCCCCAAAGTAGGAGTTTTAAATGTCGAATTTGCGCTCAAACTCAGGATTTACAGATCTTTAAAAAGTTTTATATGTGTCAAATGAATCCTAAAGAAGCTTTCCACAACACTGCATACTCAGTTTAACTACCTCACATAGCCGGTCTATCCCTTTAAAATCAACTGTTAATAATTCTGAAGACCTAGTGATTGGGACTTGATTAGTCATAATGTTCAACGTTTTGGGAAACATAATTTTTTGTTCTAATTCAAAACCAACAAAAAATTATGTAAACATTGAGCAAAGATTACTGTAATCAAAAATGAATAAGTTTAGTGTATTCTCGAGTCGGAACTTTGACAAGATTCAATCATTTTAATCAAATTCTCTTCAATTGATATTTTAATATTCGATTGATTGATTCATTCAGTTACCTTCTCTGTGCCCTCTACTACCATGACTTCGTTATCATCGTCATCATCATCAATTGTGATCTCCTCCGCCACTGGCTTAACTCATCCAATCATTCATTAGTTTTCTTTTGAGATTGTTCAAATATTTGACAATTTGAATCTAAAGTTAATGCTCGCAAAACTCAAAATTTCTTTTTATTTAAATCTTAAATAATAATTTGAGGATTAGAACAAAAAAATCACAACCACCACTCTTAGGAAAAATTATACTTACATTTATTATTCTATCACAAATGATCATAATAATAATGAAAATAATGAATATAATAATTTAATAATAACTAGCTGAAGGGCCCGGCGTTGCCCGTAAAAAAATTAAAATTTTTCAAAAACATATTTCAAAATCAAATTAGTTTAGCCTTTAACACCACCCCTCCCCGCCACCCATGAGTGTCCACAAAAAATTTCATTCCAATCGGTCCAGCCGTATGGCCGGCTATTGACAACATATAAGTATATATATAGTATATACGAATGACTTGTTTTATTATATAGATAATAATAATAAAATTATTAATGGTAATCTTAAAAGTATAATAATAGAAATAATAACAGTAATAATAATAATGAATAATGATAATGATAATAATGATGATAATAATAATAATAATAATAATATACATAATAATAATAATAATGAAAATAATGATAATAATAATAATAATAATAATAATAAAACATTAATTATCATTAAGACTTACAAGAACAAAAAAATGTAAAAATTAATGAACAATATTCCTTCTTTTTTCTTTTTCTATCTTTGTCTTTATCTTTCTTTACTCTTTTCCCACCTCCAGCCATTTTTATTCTGAAAACATAACAGTCGAAATCAAACGACGAATACAAACCATTTTGAGTAATTGCTAAATTTAAATATCACATTACACATATCAAACATGGTGACATCATATTCTGTTCACTTTAACTATTGGAAATACCCGTACTTTGGTCTAAATTTGGGACTTATTCTTAAGAATTGGTGAATTCATTCAGAGTTGTATATTTGGAAGAATTATCCCACTCATTGAGGGGGGGGGGGGAATAAATGTATCTTTGCATCCAATTTTTTTTTTACACATTTGATTACCACAAATCGCATAAATTGATTAAATGAACAAAATTATATTTAAAAGATGAGAGAGAGAGAACGGGGGGGGAGGGATTTTTTTGAAACAAAAAACATTCCTCTGAATGAAAAAAACTATTTCCAGCTCGTTCGTAATTCCAATTATTTAATGTAAAAAACCCAATATGATGTGGTTCACCCTGTAAAAAATAATAAACAAAATCAACAAGGAATTGCACTGTTTCTAGTAAAATGTTAAGCTAGACTAGTTAAATACTCGATTTAATGTAAAGACTAGATTTTTTAACTAAAAGACGATCACGATGTATTGCTCAATTACGTTTCTTTTTGAGTTGCAGATTTTCTCAATGGAAAAGTTTCGGATTTTCAATTTTAAATGTTTCTTCACAAAACCGATAAAGAAACTTTTGTTGCGAAAATAAGACTTGCATATCTCAAAAATATGACTTGCATATCTCAAAAAATAACCATGAAACAAGTCTATCACTGTAAATTTTGCTATAAAAAGGAAACCGATTTGAACTGAATTGATTAGATTTTCTTTGTTGAGACTCTGCCCCCGCATTTGTTTGCTATTACTCCCTTTAAGCTATTTTTAAAAATAATTTCTTATTGCAATCAAGGGACAAACAAATGTTTCAAATTGTTAACTAAAATACAAGGTTATAATTTGATAACTAACTACTTTTAATGCCTTTAAGAGGATAAATAATTATCATGTTCATTTGTTTTTTAACTATCAAAATTCTATTAACTAAATATCTTTCACTAAAAGTCTCACTCTAATGGCATTGTGACTAGGGTTTTTTAAGGATTTGGAGATCAGCGCATATGAATGCGCGATTAGTTTGCACTTGTGCACATCTCTAGCTGCGCACACCTATCTTCTGAATATGTTTCTGAAGAAGTCTGTAAGGGTAGATACACTGTTCTGCGCATCTCTNATAAACTGTTCTGCGCATCTCTATCTGCGCACCTATATTCTGAATATGTTTCTGAAGAAGTCTGTAAGGGTAGATAAGCTCGAGAGAAGATGGAATAGTATCGTGTCACACAGAAGATCATCCTAGATAGAAAAATATTAAATACTAGCTAACGTGCCCGGCTTTGCCCGTGGATTTTTTTAAATATCAGATTTTGAAAAAAATTGATTTTTGAAAAAAAATTAAAATTACTTTAAAATGCTTTTTAGTTTTATAAATAACTGGGGTATTTTGATGAACAATAAAAAACTATAGTAAAATGATGACAATAAGATAAAAAAAAAAAAAAATATAGAACTGAAGCTGACCTGAGCTTTACTAAAAATATCCTGAATGGTGTCCGGCTGAAAGCTTCCATGAACCAAAACTAGAAATTTTAAAATGAAAAAAAGAAATATAAAATAATAATTAAAAAATTATTCAATTGATAATCATATTTACTACATCTGGCTAAAAAGTCTTTTCACAAAGCAATAAGTACCTGGCTGAGGTACAATATGTATCTCACTTAAGTACAAGCACCAAATTAGAGTTCAAGTACCTGACTGGAGTATAACAAGTACTTGAAGGGAGTACAAGTAACCGATTAAAGTACAAGTCTCTAACTGGGGTACAAATACCTGACTGGAGTAAAAGTCTCTGATTGGAGTACAATTTGTATCTGACTGGAGTACAATAAGTACCTGACTGGAGTGAAAGTATCCGACTGAGTACAACACGTACTTGACGGGAGTAGAATAAGTATCTGACTGGAGTACAATAAGAATCTGACTGCAGTACAAGTCTTTGACTGGAGTACAATATGTATCTGACTGGAGAACAATATGTATCTGACTGGAGTACAAATCACTGACTGGAGTACAATAAGAACCTGATTAGAGTACAAGTATCTTACTGGAATACAATAACTACATTTCTAAAGTAACAAGTACCTGACTGTTTGTAGTTACATGTGTGGGTTCCTCCGACTGTCATGGGTCTCCACTGAAATCCTGGATTATGGGTCAGCCTGAAATAAAAATATCTTCCATTGTTTTCAAAAATAAATTCCTGACTCACGGATGCGAACATTTTATTTAAAGAAGAGCTTTAAACGTTTGAATTAAGGGAATAGAAAGTATGTTTTTTGAGAGGTGGAAAATAAAAAACAAAACAAAATATGCCTATATGTGAGAACTATGTCATTTTGAGATTTTTAACCATTTTTATGTTTATTTGTTTTCATGGGCCTTCGATGTTTGTTCAAATTTGGTAAACATTTACCTATATCATTTGAAATATATAATATATATACTACTTGTTCATATCAAAAGGGCTTAAACGTAATGTCAAGGGACCCTCCATTTAGTGAGGTGCATGTCCGATTCACAACAGTCCATTTAAACCTCTGTCTGGCCAGCAACAAGTAAATATTGTCGCTTTACTTTTACGAGATGTATTTAATTCCGACATATTCTTCTTTGTCTCTGGGAACTATACAAATAAAATAATCAATAATTAAATAAGGATTTCTCATTAAAGAGTGACCAGCTATGTAAGGTAGTTGAACTGAGTATGCAGTATTGTGGAAAGCTTCTAACGGATTCATTTGAGACATATTAAACTGAGAAATTGCGAAAATAGAAACTAATAATTCAACAAGATTACTTATTTTCGATGATAAGATTAATTTTTATTTTCTCAACATGATCCTAAACATGACGTCTGTAGTTTATTGTAGAACTTTTTTACATTTTATGTCGTCGTTATTTAATAATTTAAAAAAACTAATTCTGAAAACGTATCCACCCCCAAAGTAGAAGTTTTGAACGTCGAATTTGCGCTCAAACTCAGGATTTACAAATCTTCAAAAAGTTTAATATGTCTCAAACTGCATACTCAGTTCAACTACCTTACAAAGCCGGTCAATCCCTTTAATCCTTGATGAAACAAAGTATGTGAATCAGACATGCCACTTGAAATTTCGTTGACAGTCCCTTTAAACCACTCACCTTAGACCTAGTTGTGTGGTGGCACACAGACCAGTGATAAATACATCTTCTAGGTTTATAAATGGGGTCTTCAGTGCACATAGGTACAGTGGAGTAGCCAATGAACCTAAATATATGTACTATAGAGGAGAAAAATATTAAAACCCTGAAGTTAGCAGTGTCAAATTCTGGAATCTTCTCATCTTCCTCTCCTTTAATACAATCGTTATCTGTTGTGTATCTAGAAGCAATAAATGTACTTTTAAAGTACAATACATAATATTCAGAAATAGGGTTTGTTGTGCACATAGGTATAAGGGGATATCCAGTAACCCCAGATAAAACAATACATAGTATTTTTACAGTAATAACCATAAAACTACAGAATAGTAAAACGACATTAAAATAAACTGTATTGCATTTGATGTAGTTACAAAGCAAATAGCTTTATTAGTATATTATTAATTTACTTATCAATTGAAATGGGTCTCTTTACCCTGCACAATTCCTGTGTCTCATGCTCATTGGACAGCTTAACGTCATAACTTGAGTTTAATAGTCGTCTTTCTATTCCAGAGTTTTCTAGTTTTCACTGTAGATACAGGGGGTAGCCAATGATCCTAGATAATAATGTCTCTAAATTTGGTTTATTGTGTACGTAAGTAATAAAAAGGAAGAAACCAGTGATCCTCGAAAATAATATTAATTAATAGGATATTATGTATAAAAATCCTGAAAAAAAAACGAAATTCGTAAAACACGCCACAGAGGTGAACATTTAAGAGAGTATCGAGTATTTGGAGTCAATGCATTTGCGTAGATTTTAATTTAAAAAAATCAGAAAACAAAAATAGAATGAAAAGAAACACATGGAATAATACCAAAATATTGGAATCAACAAATCTGCCTGACCCCATTCATGAAACCGGGTTTCCAATACTGGGTTTCATGACGCTACTCTGTCATTAGTTTCTGGTTAAGATATGATTACCTGAAAAGATGTACCCAGTTCCACTTAGAAATGTTGGAAATATGTTGAGAGGGTAGAATTTAGGCGGGAGATACCACTTACTCGTGGGATCCCTAGATAAAAGGTAGTTGAAGATAAAAAGATAGATAAAAATAGATAGGCGTCAGATTTGAAGATAAAAAGATAGATAAAAATAGAAAGGCGTCAGATTTGAAGATAAAAAGTGTTGGAAAAAAAATTCTTTCATTTATTAAACCTAAATTTAACACACTTGTATTGTTAAACATTCAAAAGAATATTTAAATGTTAAAACTTGAGAAGAAAATATTTTATCAACTTATTTTTTATAGTTTTAAAAGCATTTTGCAAGGGATGAGACAATTTTTTTTGACCTTTTACAGATAGATTGCTCATACCTGATTGGAACAGTGTTCATCACGTGACCTATTAATGCATAATCTGTCCCTTTACTCTTAAACTCTCCATCCAACCCCTACAATATATTTTGTATCTTAAACTCTCTATACAACCCCTGCAATAAATTATATAACTTAAACTCTCCATCCAACCCATACAATATATTATATATCTTAAACTCGCCATCCAACCCCTACAATATATTATTTATCTTAAACTCGCCATCCAACCCCTACAATATATTTTATATCTTAAACTCTCTATCCAACCCCTGCAATAAATTATATAACTTAAACTCTCCATCCAACCCCTACAATATATTATATATCTTAAACTCGCCATTCAACCCCTACAATATATTTTATATCTTAAACTCTATATACAGCCTCTTGCATTAACATAATTTATATATATTTGACTCTATAAACAGCCTCTAGCATTAAACATATTTATATATCTTTAACTCTCCATCCAGTCTCTAGCATTAACTTAATTTATAATTTTCATTTCTTTTTACCTTTATTGGAATACTCTTAAAGTAGAGCTGCGTAGATTCTATTTAATACATTCATTATTAGTTTATTAAAAACTTTAGTAGAAATACAAAAGTAGATGGGGAGAATAAAAAGGCAAACTAAAGTTTTTAATATAATATAAATGAATAAATAAATAAATGAATAAATGAATAAATGAATAAATGAATAAATGAATAAATGAATAAATGAATAAATAAATACATAAATAAATGAATAAATAAAAAAATAAATGAATAAATTCCTAAAGTTTCCCAAAGCTTTTCTGCATTCACAAAAACATCGTCATCAATCTAGAAACCAGAAATTTTTTTTTTAAAGACAATCAATCAATCAATCAAGCAGACTTTTAGGGACGCCCTATGACAAAATCGCAATCCCATCATGACTGTACGAAACTGGGGTTGAAATACGGACTTACAATTCGCAGATGAAGCTGTTGAGGCCTTATGGCAAAAAATTTGATTTTTTTCAATCAAATTTTGTACAAAGTAATTTAATATTTGAAAACGCTTAGCTTCAGCGACTTAATAAACAAACAAATAATCAATCAACCACCGTTCTGTAAAAGTTAGGACTGAGCCTCCGCCAAAAATAATCGTAAATAAGATTATTAAAGTTCCAATGAACTCAATTTTTACTACAGAGACTTTCAAGTTACGGTTTAACACCTTAATTCGAAGAAACTAACCTTAAAAACGAACTTTGTTTGACTGCAGTGCCTAAAACAAGAATAAGTGAAAAATTATAAAAATGTCAAGATGTGATATAATGAATAAATGAAAGGATGAATGAATAAATGAAAGAATGAATGAATAAATTAAAGGATGACTGAATTAACAAATAATTTTTAAAAATCAAAAAAAGTGAGAGGAAGGATTGATAAATGAATGAATGGATGAATATAAATAAATGAATGGATGAATATAAATAAATGAATAAATGAATAAATGAATAAATGAATACATGAATACATGAATACATGAATACATGAATACATGAATACATGAATACATGAATACATGAATACATGAATACATGAATACATGAATACATGAATAAATGAATAAATGAATAAATGAATAAATGAATAAATGAATAAATGAATAAATGAATAAATGAATAAATGAATAAATGAATAAATGAATAAATGAATAAATGAATAAATGAATAAATGAATAAATGAATAAATGAATAAATGAATAAATGAATAAATGAATAAATGAATAAATGAATAAATGAATAAATGAATATATGAATGAAAGGATGAATGAATGAATCAATTAATATTGAAAACCTAGTAATCCACTAGAGCATGAATGTAGATTTAAGAGTAAGATTAAAATATGTATATATCCTGGAAATCTATGACTAAATGAATGAATAAATGAATGAAAGGATAAATAAATGAAAGGATCAATAAATAAATGAATAAATGAATGACTGACTGAATACCTAATAATCCACTAAAGCATGAATGTAGATTGAAGAGTAAGATTAAGATATGTATCCTGGAAATTGATGATTAAATGAATAAATGAATGACTAAATAACTGAATTAATGAATGAATGAATAAATAACTGAATGAATGAATGAATGAATGAATGAATAAATAACTGAATGAATGAATGAATGAATAAATAACTGAATGAATGAATGAATGAATGAATACCTAGTAATCCACTTAAGCATAAATGTAGATTTAAGAGTAAGATTAAGATATGTATCCTGAAAATCAATGGCTAAATGAATAAATGAATGAAAGGATAAAAGGATGAATGAATGAATGAATGAATGATGAATACCTAGTAATCCACTTGAGCATGAATGTAGATTTAAGAGTAAGATTAAGATATGTATCCTGGAAATCCTCCACTAGAATATCTCCAGAAACAGCTGCCTCTAAGTTCAATATTCATTATTTTCATTAATTGATAATCTTGAAATAATTAAATTGTTATTATTATATTTATTTACTGTAATTATTATCATTATTATTATTATTGGCATTACTTCCCTATCATTATCATCCTTATTAATATCATCATTATCAGTAATATAATTATCATTATTTTAACTATCATTATTATCTTTATCATCATTTATAATATCATTATCATCATCATTATTATCATCATTATCATCATCATTATCATCATCATTATCATCATCATTATCATCATCATTATCATCATCATTATCATCATCATTATCATCATCATTATCATCATCATCATTATCATCATTATTATCATCATTATCATCATTATCATCAGCATTATTATCATCATTATCATCATCATTATTATCATCATTATTATCATCTTTATCATCATCATTATTATCATCATTATTATCATCATTATAATCATCATTGTTATCATCATTGTTATCATCATTATAAGATGGGGAGGGGGGGGGGGATCTTTAATAAAATTTCTACCTGCCGAGAATGTAGAGAACTCGAACATTTGATGATTTGTGTAGTTTACCCCCCCAGGTATTCCGGATAGTTTGTCGAGCTGCTTCATGACCAGGGGCGGACATTACAAATACTAAATAGAGGGGAACTCTTGTATTGTGGATATCGAGATCGGTGCTTAATCTCGATCTTTTGTTAATCTGCATTTAATCTTTATTCGATTTCCAGCAGGGTAATCGTACCCAGTTAGGGATTGAAGGGAGAATGGGATGCATTTTTTTTAGATCCTTAAAAATTCAAAGTTCCCACACTTCATAGTAGATATCGAGATCAAACGATCAGGATTATGATAATCCAAATCTATGATCCCAACTAAGTAAAATAATACATTACAAATACTAAACAGCGGGAAAATAATATCATTAAAAATTAAAAAATTGTTTGTTGCAAATATCAGATTTTATTATGAGAAAAAGAATCTAGTGAAAATGGGTAAATAATACAGTGAGAACTAGAAAACTGTGGAATAGGAAGACGACCATACCAATAATAAAGTATATTTGATGTTTTTAAAAGCGAACAGTTTTACTAGTAACTTATTAAATCACTTAATAAATAGTGAAATGGGTCTGTTTTCAGTGCACAATTGCTGTGTCATATGTTCATTGGACTAATCATAAAGTCATAACTTGAGTCTGAAAGTCGTCTACCTATTTCAGAGTTTTTTGATTCTCACTGATGTATTAAATGAAAAATGGAAAAACAAGCAACAATGGAAAAATGATAAATAATTATCAATGGAAAAAAATAATACTTCATGGGGAAATTAATAATCAAATAGAAAAATATTATAAATGGAGAAAAAAATTTGAATAAAAAACTATGGAAAAAATAGCAATTAATGGAAAAATTATTATTAACAGAAAATTCTGGATCAGTAGAACAAAAATAATCAATGAAGAAAACAATATCTATTGATAATAAAAATAAACTGATCTGAAGAAAAAAATAAATTATTAGCCGAAGTGGCCCGGCGGCGTTGCCCGTTGAATTCTTTCAAAAAATAGATTTTAGCCAATGTTACCTCAAAAAGTGTCAGCCCATTTGGCTAACATAAAAATAAATATATATGAGCTAATAGCTTTATGTTATAAATTAAAAAAATGATAATCGATGGGGATCATATTTAATTAATCAATTGAAATAATAATCAATGCAGAAAACATTCAAAACTGGAGAAAAACTTAAGATAAAAAATTCATAAACTAATTCATTTATTAAAAATAAATTATATTGATGTGTTGGGTGAGTGGGGGCAGAGGGGGGGGGTAACATTATCAATACTTCAGATTTGTGTTTGTGTATGTTTTTCCACTTAAATCCGAATCCATCTCTTTTGGATCCGGATCGATGATAACAAATGTTGTGGATCTTGATCAAGGAGTATGAAATAGAAGAGAGATACAACTGACGTGGTCCGCCCTACCATATGATTATACATGCTTTGCAGACGGTACTTCGTTTGAATAAAAAATATTTTTCTGATGTACAATTACCGCGTATACAATAACCTATTCTGAATATGTACAAATGAAGTACCGTCTGCAAAGCATGTATGATCATATGGTAGGGCGGGCCGCGTCAGTTGTATCTCCCTTCTATTCCATACTCCTTGATCAAGATCTTAATAATAATCACAGTCACCCCTTAGGATTAGGCTTGAGTTCTCCTCCAGTTCAAGTTTAACTTACTCAGTGAAGAGCTGAGTGTAAATTCATTAGTGAGACTCAATAAATACATATTATGGACTAGCTTGTGAACCCAGCTTTGCCTGGAATATTCCATATAAAAGACGAAAAACTCAATTTTAAAGTTTAAACCAAGCTAAAAACATTCCCGTGGTTCTACCGAGTTCCCCCATCAAAATTTAAGACCAATCGGACAAAGGGTTCGCGAGTTATGATCGGACATACAAACAAACCGAGATTACTACTTTTAATGTACAAACTAGCTTGGGAACCAAGCTCTGCCCAGGTTACTAAAAGTTACTCCCACCGTTTACCCACACTTGAAAATGATTTTACCGGGACACTAAATGTTCGCTACTAAGTCGACCCACTCGTATTAAAATCATAAAACCAAGCCTCCCGAGTTCCCCAATCAAAAATTTGAGGAAATTCGGTCCAGGGGTTCCTGAGTTATGATCGGGCAAAAAACAGACAGACAAACAGAGATTATAACTTTTTATATATAGATACCTAGTAACTCTACTTCGTCTGTTCCACAACTGGGAGGTTCTACTAATACTGTGTCTTCTAAATATAATAAATAAACTAAATCTTTCTCCAAGTATAATATAAAATTAGCCTAACAACATCAGATATAGGTAAAGTAACGATCGTGAAAGGTTCCCAGACCGCCATCGGATGTGCAGGGACATAGCCCAAAACACGGTCAATCCGGCAACCTGATGAAAGTACAAAGAAGTTAGGACAATGGGCATAATATATTTAAAATCAAAATCAAATCTGGCTTTTAGGAAGGTCTCCTATCCAAGATTCAAATTCGAGATGACAATTCGACTTTTTTCATATTATTAGCCTTCCACAAAGGTAAAAAAATCTTAATGTTTTACCACAATCTAAGGGTTTTTCTTTACTATTTTAAATTTTTTTGTCCAACAGATATTCCAATTTGTCAGTCCAATAAACTTATGGTTGAAAAAATTTAAACAATGATTTTCGGGTCCGGTAGGCCCATCTTAGCAATAAATGGAGATCCAGATTCTAGATTTTTTCTTGATTCTTGAACGCCATTGAAACTTATGCTTAGAGAATGAATCAAATATTCTGATTACTTGCCGTGAAGATTTATTGCAAAGATTTGAGGAAAAAATTAAAAATATTAACTTGAACTGGAAAGTTCTCCCCCTTAACAGGACTGTAAAGGAAAAATAAAATGGGGTATAGGATGAAACCTGAGAATCTCAGGCGTTAAACGATACATATAAAACATCTATCTGAGAATCTCAGGTTTGCTCCTATTAAAATTTTTAAATTTTTAATTTGCATTTTTGATAGATATAATTGATAATATAATTACATATGGTCCGTATAGTCCGTATTACGTCACATTAATTTCAGCCAATGGCAGTGCAGTATCGTTGTCACGTAATACAGACGGAAATCACGTGACCAGTATCAATTTCTCGAGATAGGAACATTAGAAAGATGTCTTATAGGTATGGTTTAACTCCTGAGATTCTCAGGTTTCAGCCTATACCCCCTTTAGCTTTTCCTTTACAGTCCCTTTAAAGATGGTCCATTTTACCCAAAAATCATTCATTTTCCCAAATTCAGTTAACAACTTTTATTTTAAAGAAAAGAAAAAAATATTATTTTTTAAGAAAAAAAATACACAAACATGTTAAGAACTATTAAGAAATGTTAACTGTAATAACGAACTCCAAGGTACAAATTTTCATGAACTAATACCTTCTTGAAGGATTTAATTTCACGTGACCCTAAATGCAAAGAGGACAATGTCCGATTCACAACGGTACCCTTAAAAGCTTTGGCTGATCAAGCGTGAATTAGACATCAATCATTATAATTTTGAAAACTGTATATTTTCAAATGTGGTTTCTCTAAAAAAATAATTTGCGCATTTCTACTGCAGGAAAGCATATAGGAATTATTCTAATCAAACAATTATAAATCTATAAAAACGACAATATCTTTTACACCATTTATCAGATACAGGTTTCAATGCTACCGTTGTGAATCGGGCATTATCATCTTTGCATGGAGGTTAATGCATTTACAACAGAACACTTTAAAACCATTTTCTGATCAATGATGTTGAATTAGACATCAATCATTATAATTTCTTTGGATAGATTATGCATTCCAAAGAATGTAGACACAGAATTTCTTCTGGATACATTTAGGGTTCCATCTTTCAGTCCAAGCGTGTCTCTGACATAGTCTGATCTATCTGACAAATGCTCCCATTCTCCATCAATTACGAAAACCAATTTGCTAAACGGCTTTTTACTATTTCCAATCTTAAGATTTATGAAAAATCCATCTTAAATGTATGAATTAGATATCAATCATTATAATTTTGAAAGCTGTATATTTGCAATTGTGGTTTCTCTAAAATACTAAATAGCGCATTTCTACTGCCGGAAATCATAAATCTTAATTAAACACTTATAAATCTATGAAAACGAAGATATCTTTTACATCATTTATCAGATACAGGTTTCAAGGGTACCGTTGTGAATCGGGAATTATCATCTTTGCATTGAGGGTAATGCATTTACAACAGAACACTTTAAAACCATTTTCTGATCAATGATGTTGAAGATATCGTTGTTTTCCCAACTGTTGTGTTTTATCAGTACTTAAAAAAATATTTAACGTGCTGCCCGATTTCGCTTCCGCATTTAAGAATTTTATTAACAAAGAAAAATGTTTAAATCTTATCGTTATTATGCTGAACCAGGGGAGCTCATGTGTAAACAGCCTGAGCTATCTTGTAGCTTCTCGGCCACAATATATTTAAAATTGATTGTTGTTATTCTTAATTAGCATTTTTACGTATGTACACTGTAAAATTTGTGGCCTAATAAATGATTTGATTTGATCTTTATTTACCTGGAATATGAAATATAGGAACATGGTGACCACTGCTGTAACAACACATAACTAAACACAAGAAAATATTTTAGCTTTTTCTTTTAACAGGTTTTTTTTTGGTAGCAGTAATTCATATATCTTTTTACAGATTGATATTTTTCATTTTTTTATTTTCACATTTTTGTAAAAATACATAATACATAAAAATGTTTTTAAAATATAAATGTTTCCTTTGAAATGGACCAGAGGCAGGGGCGGCTTATGATATTTTCCAGGGAGGGGGATTTAATCATTGCTGGGGGTGGAAGGAGGGAAGTGTGTTAGCAAGATTTGTATTTTTATTATGTCATTTCTTTACCCCCCCCCCCCAAAAAAAAAGCCGCCTCTTACCAGAGGGAGAAACTTTTATGTTGGATATGCGTCGCTTTGGCTAGGCTTGGCCATATATCCTACGCAAAAGTTCTGTTATGTTTATATTATAACTTCGGAAAAATGTAAAGCCGCAGAATTTCTTCTGGAAAGTTAGGGCTTTGGACTATTAACCCTCATGCATCTATGAAAACAGACACAGCCTACAACGCCTTGTACGTAGATGTAACTTTATTTCCGTTATTGACGTTTGGCGTACAACACTAATTCTTGACAAAACCGATTTTAAACTCGTTTTTCAATTCCCATGTTTATTGGGACACCCTGTATGAAAAAGGTGTGACTGCACCTGTAGTATTCGGGTTGATATCTTCCTTCTCTTCATCCTGATCTTCAGCTTGTTCACCAGCCGTATCTTCTCCATTCTCAGCTAGTGCTCCTCCGCCTTAAAGGGACTGGTCAACGTAATTTCAAGTGAGACTCGCCGCGCAAAATAGAGTACCCTTTAAAAGTTTAATCAAGGACCGAGAATTCTATATCAAAATCTTTTTAATTGTGTAAAAAGCCGTAAAAATTGGAGTGAACACTAGCGCACTTTGTGAATTCAACGCGGATGATGTATTCCTGGAAAATCTAGAATATTTTTTGTTCAGCTCGCTTTTCAAAAATTCGAATGTGAATAATCATACTTTGCCACTTCTAGGAAATAACCGTTAATATTCCAGAAATATAAAACATTTTGAAAAGCGTTTCTGTAGTGACTGTAGACAACTATGGACAAATCTTGTATCCTTGATCCGTCAAAGGGTTAAAGGGAACCGTTTCAAGGGCCTTTCCATGTATCAATCTGAGCTTTAGAACGTGTTCACCCAGGCCAATTTGATTTTCGTTGTCTACGATATAGAGGTAAGTTAAAAAAAACGCAAAACGAATTCAAAAATAAATTCAATTTCTTTAAAGATTGATAACATTTTATTACATAATTTTCCAAAATATCGGGAAAAATTCTTAAAGAATTGATCCACAAAAGTAACTTCAAACCTAGAAACCGACAATTTCTTCCACTTTGATGATCAAATAAAGGGTTAAAGGTACCGTTGTAAATCGGGCATTACCATATTAGAACGGACGGTACTTGAAAATATGTTTTCAGCATCTTTAACATGCCTGGTTATAAAAGTATGATCCTGCTTTACATGTATTCAAGAATTTCAGAGTTCTATAAGTTTCCAGACTCCGGTACTCGGTTCACACCAAATCATTATTAGAAGTCTGAAAGAAGGTTCAGAGTTAAATCATATTTACCATAATTTTTAGCTATAATATTTAAAAAATATAATGACAAAGAATGATCATCCTTACTAGAGGTTTTCTCAAAAAAAAAAGTAAAGTTTTATTTTCTTTATGAACAATTTCAAGTCAATTAAATAATGCTTCATTGTGTAAAATTGTTAATTGCAATAAAAAATTCAATATAAGAGGATTAAAGTACAGTTATATGATCATGGATTCGATATAATATACATTTACAACAGAGAGAAGAAATGCCACGGCAAAATGCTTCAGAATTAAAAACATTTTTAAACAAAAAATGCGCCATTGTTAAATAAACAAAAACATTTTACACGTTTCTTTTAAGTTTGAAAATATGGTGTCAATTTAGAAACATGTCCAATCTTAACAAAATTACTAAAATCTAGAGTTGGCTGGCTATAAATATTTACAAATATTGCGTCCATTACAAAAATACTAAAATAAGCGTCATCGTTTAATTGTTTCTATAAGAGTAATGATTTCCATAAGCATAATATATAATAGAAGATAGTAAATCTACGAAAATGCCACGAGAAGATAGTAAATCCACGAAAATGCCGCGTGAATTTACGTAGATCCCGGAGCAGATGGCCCAGCTTTAGACAAATTAAAGATGGCGTCTCTGATAGTTTTTAACTCGTGCAACTCTCTTTGAGCATCTTGTAGCAGTTTCTCCTTCTTGTTGAGTGCCTCCTCCTGGTTCCTAGTGAGGGTGTCAAGGCTCTGCTCTCGCTTCTCCAGTTTCTCGTTCTTCTTCTCAACAACCTCCCGCCTAGCCTGCTCCTCCTCTAGCAGCTTCATCGTCTTCCTCAACTTGTCATGACTCTTTGTCAGAGCCGCCTTGAGTTCCGCCAATTTTTGATCACTCTCAGTCATCAGCTGATCACGCTCTTTGCGCATTTTCTCCAACATTTTCTTGTTATTCTCCTGCTCCTCAGCAATCCTAGCGGCAGAGTTTTCAATCTCTTTCTGCATATGCTGTTTGGTTCTGCTAAGCTCTCTAGTGAGTTCCTCTATCTTAAAGTCTGTGTCCTTGGTGTAGGTCAACTGCTGCGTTCTGATAGAAGCAAGCTCCTCCTGTCCTGCGCTATACCTACACATTGTGGACACAAAATCAACATTAAGAAAGAATAGGTTCCAATCTTAACATTTTTGAAAAGGAAAATTATTAATTTTCTTTATTTTTTACTGTTGTACTTTGATTTCTTTACACCCCACTCATGAATTTAAATATAGGGAAAATTACTTTCTGATTATTATTAACGATTTTGAGGAATAGTTCTAGAACCTGCAAAAAGTCGGCATTTGTAGAGACGTCATAAAAAAATCTTTTCTTTTTTAAACTGGCCGAAAATGATGGATGATGCACGAAACGAACAACAAAAAGAAAATAGGGGTTTAGAAAAACAGAAATTTCAAAATACTTGCAGCTGCTATTATGTAATTATTTAAAGAATTTTGTTATTTGAAAAATAAATAAGTTTAAAAAAACGGTATTGAACAAGTTTACCTGGCAGAAACTAGATTCAGCATCAACTTAACCTCCTCCAACTCCTGGCTTAAAGAACTCACGACAAGGGTCAAGTTCCGGGCACTCTCATTAGAAGCTTCAAGACTGGACCTCAGAACCTTGATCTGGGTCTGTTCCCTCTGCCCTAGGCTAAGCTGAAGCTGAAGCGCTTGGGATAGAATCCTCTCATCGGAGTCTCCGACTCGGGTTGAGGTCGCTAGTCGGAGGTCCTCCATCAAGGACTCCAGCCTCAGAGGATCAACTCCATCCACATTCATACGATGGCGTTCTTCGTACAGTTGAGGTTTAGCTTCTCTATGCTTGGGGAGAAACTTATCTGTGTTGGCTGAGATGATTTTAAGAGCTTTTCCTGCAACTTCTGGATCTAGATCGGTGGCGGTCAGCGCTTCCTTGACAGAGGCAATAACATCTTCACTCTCCAAGAGTTCATTCTCAACTTTGCTCCAGCTACTGCTATCAGCCCTGGTATTAAAAACAATATATTTCAGGGGTATTTAATTTCTTGATTAATAATTCCTTCTCTCCTTACTTAAGATTATATTTTCACTAATATGTGAGGAAGAACCAAAAAATGTTTAAAATCTAATTGGGGGGGGGGGGGG